CAAATTTTAAACATAAATTATATTCAAACATATCACTTCTTTATATGCATAATTTATTTTAAAGTTTAGTTATGTATAATAAACATTTAGCCTTACATTGCACAAACTAAGATATTAATAATATTATATTTAAAATACTTATGTATTAAATTTAACTTTTAAAATATTCAGACAAAGTTGTATATCGACCATTTGAATGTTGATTGATTTAAGTGTATACTTATGATTTTTTTCATAGTAATATTGTCACAACTTTATCTCTCTCTCTCTATATATATATATATATATATATATATATAAAGTCAAATTTTCTTCCACCTCATTTCCATCACATTCCCTCCCTCTTCTTATCTCTTCTCAATTTTCATCACGTCATCTTTTCGCATACCATTTGTGTCTGTAAATTTAATATTCAAAAACAAAGGGGTGTGAGTGTGACCTGTTTATTCTATAAACGTTATTTGAATACATCTAAGAGAACTGAGTCCAATAATTATGTACCTAAGACCATTCATTGTGTTGTGGAAGCAAACTAGAAATGATCATTTGCATGCCCTAGAAATTTGACTTCTGTAGGGGAGTGTTTCACTATAATGTCTTTCAGCAACGATGCAAAATTGTTCTTTGTTTTGTTCATACTGTGTTGTTATGTGTTGGACGTTGGTATTGCCATAGACAGCATCACCTCATCGCAATCCATAAAGGACCCTGATACTCTAAGTTCCGAAGATGGTAACTTCACGTTGGGATTCTTCACCCCTCAAAACTCCAAAAAACGCTACGTTGGAATTTGGTGGAAGTCTGAGTCCACAGTCATATGGGTTGCTAACAGAAACCAACCACTGAATGATTCTTCTGGAGTTGTTACAATCTCTGAAGATGGGAATCTTGTGGTGCTGAATGGACAAAACCAAGTTGTTTGGTCAACAAATGCGTCCAATCTTGGAATCAACTCTACTTCAAAACTTTTAGATTCCGGGAATCTTGTACTAGTGGAAAGCACAACAGGAAACAACATATGGGAGAGTTTCCAGCATCCATCTAATGCACTGTTACCAAATATGAGGCTTACAACTAACAAAGTAACAGGTGAGAAACTAAAATTAACTTCATGGAAAAGTCCTTCTGATCCATCCACTGGGAGCTTCTCTGCAAGTGTTGATCGCCTTGGTATGCCTGAATTATTCGTTTGGAATGAAACTCGCCCATTCTGGCGCTCTGGTCCGTGGGATGGTCGACTCTTCACAGGGCTTTCATTTATGAGAACAAATTATCTTACTGGGACATATGTTGGAGATGACGGGCAGGGAAATGTTGAGTTCATTTTAATTACAAATTTAGAAGAGTCTGGCATGATAGTCAATATTCTGAATTCACAAGGCAATGTTGAACAAAGCATGTGGAATGAAGGGAAGAAAGAATGGGTAGTCACATGGAAAAGCCATGAATCGGATTGTGATATTTATGGTGCTTGTGGGCCTTTTGCGATCTGTAACTCACAAAGTTCCCCAACATGTAGCTGTTTGCAGGGGTTTGAGCCAAGGAACAAAGAGGAATGGAATAGACAAAAGTGGACCAGTGGATGTGTTAGGAGCACAAGTTTGCAGTGTGAAAGGGTCAGCAACCAAAACACAAGTGCAGATGGATTTTTGAAACTGAAGATGATCAAAGTTCCGGATCATGCAGATGGGACATTTCTCAGTCTTCAACCAGACTCGTGCAGAAGCCGATGTTTGAAGAACTGTTCTTGCATTGCATATTCATATGATGCTAAGATTGGTTGTATGTCTTGGACAGCGAATCTAATTGACATACGACAATTCACTTACGGAGGACTTGATCTATATGTCCGTGTAGCCTACACAGAACTTGGTATAATTTGTATAATGCTAGTTGTTATTTGCACAAGAATTTGATTTTCATTAGGACTGAAAATTTTCAATTTTCATTTTTCCTGATTGCAGATAAAGATAGAAACATGATACTCATCATTAGTATTACGGTGACAATAGGAACTACCTTAATTGTCACATGTGCATATATCATGTGGAGAAGGCTTAATTCGAAACACCATGGTAATATATTATATCATCATTATGGGTTAAAATTACTCAAACGAGTTTTCTTTATTGGTACAGTTTATGCAAGCTATATACAAAGACATGCTCAAGAACATAACAATAAATTCGTTTTGTTTACTCGTTTGTGCTCTTTTTTCAATGATTGAGAAACAATTTTAAATCACCGTACACGAAAATCTATGTATGTTGTTTCTCCCCCTTACTAATTTGTGGTATTGTAATGAATCAGTGAGAGGAATCTTCAAAGGAATCCTCCAATTTAACAGAGGAAGAGCACCTGTAGAATGTACAAATGACGATGTATTTGGAGATCTGTCACAAGTCAAACTCCAGGAGCTATTAATATTTAGTTTTGAAAAGATTGTAACTGCCACTAACAACTTTCACCCATCCAACAGGATTGGACAGGGTGGTTTTGGTCCAGTATACAAGGTACATTAAATTTAGTTTAAGTTATTTATATCTGAAATCATTGTGAATAGTTTCATATTCTTCATTTTTATATTATAGGGTAAATTGCAAGATGGTCAGGAAATTGCAGTTAAAAGACTTTCTCGAACATCTGGACAAGGTGTAGGAGAATTCATGAATGAAGTAGTAGTAATTTCTAAGCTGCAACACCGCAATCTTGTGAGACTTCTTGGCTGCTGTATTGAAGGAGAGGAAAAGATGTTGATTTATGAGTACATGCCAAATAAAAGTTTGGATGCATATGTCTTTGGTTAGTTCTTTGATGCCCCTAACATCCTCATTTGTATCGAATTTCCATTGTGTTTATGATATATCATACATGAAATGTTTGATGAAAATGAATAATGTTTTTACAGCAAGTGACTTACTTTTCTTGAAAGCTTTTAAGACATGCAATGGGCAGCAGAAACATAAAACATAAAAACTATACAAAACCATAAAACAGAGAAGAGAAAAGGTTAGGGAACAAAGCAATTTCGTATTTGCTGGATAACCATACCATTCTACATATTTTTCATTCATATATAAGACAAATACATGAAAAATGACAGCCATACATAGAGTTCATAAATGTTATTAGTAAAACACATGTCCCCAACATCATTAAGTGTGTAGATTTTCCTAAAATTAGATACCTAACAAGATATTATCTATTGGGCTAAGGAAACATAATTAGAGTAAAACTTTACCCATTAATAAAAGAAACCATAATTAATTATAGCACTAAAAAATAAAGGAAAAGTTTTACTGCCTTAACACTCCTTAAAACTTTTCTTAAAGACTTCCAACGTGCTTCTTAGCTCATTAAACTTAGCACTTGGAAGGGCCTTAGTGAGTATGTCTGCCAATTGCTCCTCATACCTGCAAAACATCAACTGAACATCTCCATTCTTCCCAGTTTCCCTTATAACATAAAATTTGACATTGATATGCTTGGTTCTTCCATGTTGAATTGGATTTTTTGCAATTGAAATGGCTGACTTGTTATCACACCATAACACAATAGGTTTCACTTGCACATGACTCAAATCTATCAAGACTTTCCTGACCCATATAGCTTGATTTGGGGTTGTTGCTGCTGCTACATATTCAGTCTCAGCAAAGGATTGAGCAACCACATCTTGCTTCTTAGAGTTCCATGAAAATACTCCACTACCAAGTGAAAAAACATATCCCGTTGTGCTTTTAAAGTCATCAATAGATCCAACCCAATCACTATCAACAAAACCTTCAACCTTTCCATCACTTTTACTATACCAAATACCAAAATCAACAGTAACTTTCAAGTATCTCAACACTCTTTTGCCTACACCAAAGTGTGTTAAACTTGGTGAATGCATGAATCTTGAAAGTAAACTACTACAGAACATCAAATCTGGTCTAGTTGTAGTCAGATAAAGAAGACTACCAACCAAACTTCTATATTGAGTCACATCTACCTTTGCATCACCATCAGCCTTAGAAAGCTTTTCATTGATAGCAAGTGGAGTTGAAACAGGATTACAATTCTCCATTTTGAATTTTTTCAGCATGTCATTTGCATATTTTTTCTGTGAGAGAAAAATTCCATCATCAATCTAATGCACTTCCATCCCCAAAAATAACTCATCATTCCAAGATTTGTCAATCAAAAACCTACAACATGCTGATTTTAAACTCTTCAATTTAATCAACATTATCACCTGTAATCAACAAATCATCAACATAAAGTGAAACCACAATTTTCTTTCCATTGCCACAATCTTTCTTTGGCTCCTCCTGAAATCATTTTGCAAAAAATGAGAATCAATTCTGCTATACCAAGCGCTTGGAGCCTGTTTCAGCCCATACAAGACTTTATAAAGCTTATAAACATTTTCTTCACGACCTACAACAATAAAACTAGTAGGCTATTCAACATATATTTCTTCTTGTAACACTCCATTTAAAAAGGTAGATTTAACATCCAAGAATTGTTCTATTTTTGTGCTCCTTTGAACTTCATTATTTTCGCAATTCCAGTATGGATTCTCATCAATTTGAATATCCCTACTGATCACAATCTGTTTTGACCTCATATTGTACACCTGGGAACCTTTGGAGTTTGCAGCATAGCCTAAGAAAATCCCCATTTCAGCTTTGTCATCTAATTTGGATCTTTTTGCTACTGTAATATGAGTATAGAAAATAGATCCAAAAATCTTCAGGTGTTTGGCAGTGGGTTTCATTCCATTCCAAGCTTCAATTGGTTTTTTTCTTGAACAGCTCTTGTTGGCAGCCTATTCAAGAGATACACAACTCTATAAACAGCTTCAACCCAAAAACATTTTGGCAATTTCTTTTCAACAATTAAACATCTTTCCATCTCCATAAATGTTCTATTTTTTCTCTCAGAAACTCCATTTTGTTTAGGAGTATAACTTATTGTCAATTGACGAATAATGCCCAAATCTTCACAAAATGCATTAAACTCATTAGATGTATACTCCTTCCCATTGTCAGATCTCAACATTTTAATTTTGTAGCCACTTTAAGACTCCACCATGGCTCTCAACTTTTTAAAGTGATCAAAAGTTTGAGTTTTGCTTGATAAAAAATACATCCATGTAATTCTTGTCAAATCATCAATCAACAGAAGAAAATATTTGCTTTGGCTAAGAGAAGGAACATTCATTGGATCACACAAATCAGTGTGAATAAGTTCCAATTTTTTCTTTGCTCGTGTGACATTTGTTGATGAAAAAGACTTTCTATGCATTTTTCCCAATTGACAAGCATCACATAAATCATCAATAATACCCATCATAGGCATGTCTCTAACCATATCATGAGTTTGCAAAAAATTTAATGCACCCATATTAAAGTGACCATATCTTTTGTGCCATAAAAAAGAATCATTATGCTTGGAAACAAGAGCTGATTCATTCACTTGATTCAAATTGATTGGAAAGTTATTATCACACATTTCAACCTTAATAACTTCATAATCACTTGAATCCAATATGATGCAACAATTATTTTTAAATGAAAGAGAATAACATTTCTTCATTAGTTGAGGAACACTTTGCAAATTCTGATCCAAATCAAGAATAAACAAAACATCATGAATAAATTTATGACCTTTGCTAGTGTGAACAAAAACTATACCTCTTCCTTCAGCTTGTACAATATCTCCATTTCCAAGCTTAACTTTGGTTTGGAAAGCCTTATCCAAAGTAGTACTGAGACTTGAGTCCCTTGCCATGTGGTTTGTGCACCCACTATCAACATACCATACATCATTTGAACATAAACTACTTGTTTAAGTAGCCATAAACAATTGTTCTTCATCTTGGAGTTGCTGATCGGTGAAGTTAACTTGATGTGCATGTTGTGTTTGAGATTGGTTATGCCTGAATCTGTAGTACCTCTCTCTATGTCCCCACTTCTTGAAAATGTTACATTGGATTTGAGGCTTCCCCTTATGCCAACAATCTTTCAACAAGTGGTTTGTTCTTTTTCATGTGGAACAAGGAGGAAAATGGTTTTTTGTTGCAGATTCATTACTCCCATCCATCTTGGTTTTCCCCTTTTGGTCACCAGCTGCTTTATAATTATGTTTCTTTTGATTTTTCTAACCAGCTTGCTTTCCCTTGTGTCTTGCTTGAAATGCACCTTCACTTACATCATCCATTCTCATGGAGAATCTTTGTTCATGATCTTGCAATTTACTGACCATTTCGGAAATGGTTAGTTTCTTAAGATCACATGACTCTTCAATGGCAACAACTTTGGCTTCAAATTTTATGGGTAGACTGATCAACATTTTTTCGACTACCTTGTGGTCATGGGCAAGCTCACCATACAATCTCATTGGGTTCACCAAGTGAGATAGGTTTGAAGTGTACTCCTTGACTGATTCACTTTCCTTCATTTTCAGTATTTCAAACTCTCTTTTAAGAGTCAATAGTTTGATGAATCTCACTCATTCATCACCGGTATACCTTTCGTTCAACTCGTCCCATATATGTTTTGTTGTTTCTAGATGCATAATGCTTGTAAAAACATCATTTGTCAAAGTTGAATGTAAAAACAACTTTTTCCTTCTTTAAAATCTCCTTCACATGTTGCTTCATTTGAGCTATGGTAGGATTAGTTCTCAATGGTGAAACTTGCTTATCTTCATCTACATACTCCCATAAGCCAAAAGACTTCAAACATGATCTCATTTTGACAATCCATATGTGATAGTTTTCCCCAGAAAATTGAGGAACATAAAATATACACCATTATTCCCCAAAGCCATTCTATCACTCACTCATAAGTGTTTAATCTCTCCTCTCAATTTTTTTCAGACCCACAACCTATAAGAACAATGCTCTTGATACCACTTTGAATCCATGCAATGGGCAGCAGAAGCATAAAACATAAAAACCATACAAAACCATAAAACAGAGAAGAGGAAAGGTTATGGAACAAAGCAATTTTGTATTTACTGGATAACCATACCATTCTGCATGTTTTTCATTCATATATAAGGCAAATACATAAAAATGACAGTCATACATAGAGTCCATAAATGTTATCAGTAAAACACATGTCCCCACCATCATTAAGTGTGTAGATTTGCCTAAAATCAAATACCTAGCAGGATATTATCTATTGGACTAAGAAAACATAATTACAATAGAACTTTACCCACTAATATAAGCAACCATAATTAATTATGGCAGTAAAAAATAAAAAAAAAAGTTTTACTGCCTTAGTAAAAGCATACTAATGTTGGTTTTCTTAAAATCATATTAAACTGTGGAATTTAGAGGACATTGATTGGTCTTGAAATGTAAGAATTCATATAATTTCACCTTTTGATTCTTTAGATCTGACGAAAAATATAGTCCTTGATTGGAGAAAACGCTTTAGCATAATAGAAGGAGTGGCTCGAGGAATGCTTTATCTTCATAGAGATTCCAGGCTAAAAATCATCCACAGGGACTTGAAGGCAAGTAACATCTTGCTAGATGAGGAGTTAAATCCGAAAATATCCGACTTTGGTATGGCCAGAATCTTTGGTGGAAATGAGGATCAGGCTAATACTAGAAGAGTTGTTGGAACATAGTAAGAACAACTTCTTTGTCCTATATTATGGTAGCATACTTGATTAATAAATTCTTGTACATTTTAATACAGTGGTTATATGTCTCCTGAATACGCAATGCAAGGACTATTTTCTGAGAAATCAGATGTCTTTAGCTTTGGAGTTTTGCTGCTGGAGATTGTTAGTGGAAGACGAAATTCAAGCTTCTATGACAGCGAGAATTTTTTGACCCTTTTAGGATTTGTAAGTCTCAAATTTTTCTTAGCTCATTATAAGGCTTTTGTAGCCTACTACAGATAAAACATTCCGACTGTTTAATATATTTTTTTCTCATTGTAGGTTTGGATGCGGTGGATGGAAAATAATATATTATCTATAATAGATCCAAGAATATATGATCCTAGTCTTCATAAAGATATTTTGAGGTGCATACACATAGGACTTCTATGTGTGCAAGAATTTGTTGCAGAAAGGCCGACTATGGCTACTGTAATTTCTATGCTTCAAAGTGAGATTATGAATCTTCCTCCTCCAACAAAACCTGCGTTCACCCTAAGGCATAATATGTTAAGATCAATGTCCTTTGCAATTGTTAGCATTTCAAGCATTCAAGGAAGATAGAGAACAAAGTGCTTTGAGAAAGGTATATGGAGGCAATGAAGATTATGTTAATAATAGAAAGGTTGTAAGAAATTAGAACATTGTAGGTAGACCCTTCTTTTTTGTCAGAAGGTATACATTGGATTGACTATTTAGGTAGAAGTTTGAACTCTGAAGTGTTTTTTATTTGGGCATTCCTTTCATAAGGTTTACTTCTATTGAAAATATTTTGTGAAAAATATAGAAAAATTGGATCTTTCAGACAAATTTAAATTGAAGATGGAAAATTATCATTATAATTCATAGAAGAGGATGCCTATATATGTATAGGTTTACCATTAATTTAAAATTTCTAACAAATCTCATCTACTAACAACTTTACTTGTTGAGATTATATTGAATAAATGAAAATAAAATATAAAAAATAAAACTTTAACAATAACAAATATCTTATCTAAAATTTATTGAAAATTCAAAATTTAAATAAAGGAAAATCTCATAAATCTAACACTCTTCCTTGAGATTTTCCATGAATATCACAAATTTTAGTTTCATGAAATCCAAAAATTAAGTTTTCAAATGCCATGTCATCAAGTTGTTGCACATCAATTTCTTGACCCAAATCATTGTCTTCATAGTTGTTCAATCTAACTCCTCCTCTTGTCTTTGAATACCATTTGTTGGGATTTGTCATATCAAATACATCTTGTATAAAAGTGTGACCAAATCTTCCATGCCAAACATTACTCTCATCAATTTTAACAATAAAATCATGATCTTCAACCAAATCAAATTTTAAATAAAAAATATTTTTGGTTATCTCAATCTTTGTAATCTCTAAAGCATGTTCATCCATAATAAAATAATAATTTTCTTTAAAAGAGACTCCATAACCATTCCTTAGCATCTGTGGAACACTAAGAACATTTTGATGCAATTTTGAAATGTAGAGAACATCTTTAACAATTATCATACCTTTCTTGGTTGCAATAGAAATTGTTCCTTTTCCATTGGCATGTACAATTTCACCATTTTCCATCTTGACTTTTGACTCAATTCTCTTGTCAATGGAGGTAAAAAATGATAAATATTTAGTCATGTGACTAGTGTAACCACTGTCAATGAGCCAGGTATTCAATTCATGTGAATTGAATTCTTGAGATGCCATAAATAAATACTCATCTTCATCATTTTTTTCTTCAATCACATTTGCCTGTTTTTCTAGTTGTTCAGGCTGATTCTTCTTTAATATGCAATACTTTTCATTGTGACTATTTTTATTGCAAAAAATACAATGAAAAAATGGTTTATCTTTAAACCAACAATCTTGTTTAGAATGGTTGATTCTTTGACAATGAAAATAAGGCAAAAACTTTCCTTTTCTCGAAGAACTTTCATCTTTTCCTTTGTTCTTATTGAAAGTTCGTGACTTTCCAAAATTCCTTCCATTGTGCTTTGCTCAAAAGGCACTTTCAACAGCCTCATCACTTCTAATGGAGACTCTTTACTCTTGTGTGTGAAGCTTACCGGTCAATTCAGTAATTGAGAGAGTTTGCAAATCACAAGACTCTTCAATTGCAGAAATCTTGGCTTCAAATCTTTCAGGCACCGAAACTATGATTTTTTCGAAAACCTATTGATTTGTAAAAGATGTTTTACCAAGAAGTCGCATTTGGTTCACAACATCCATTAATTTTCCAGAATAATCTTTGACAGATTCATTATCCTTCATCTTCATCAATTCAAATTCTCTCTTCAATGTGAGAAGCCTAATAGATTTGACTCTGCTATTTCCTTCAAATTCATCTTGAATCTTGTCCCACACTTGTTTAGGTGTTTTCAAGTCCATGATTTTAGTAAAAATATGATATGCAAGTCCTACATGTAGGCAAGTGATGACTTTATCTTTCTTTAATTTAGCTTCTCCTCCTCATAAGCTTTGATTTGTGCAATTGTTGGATTTTCTCTCAATGGTGGTGAATCAGCTTCAAAAATTACAACATTCCATAAACCTTGAGATCTTAAAACAAATTTCATCTTAACGGCCCAAATATGATAATTTTCACCATTAAACATTGAATTGCAGGTGAATTGGTGGAAGTAGACATCCTTGCATACCAAAAATTGTTTGAATAATAAATCACTCAATTTAGTGTTTGCACTCAACCTTAATGTGTTTAGCGCTCAATAAACCTTTTCCTCACAACCTGTAGGAAGAAAGCTCTGATACCACTGTTGGAAATATTTTGTGAAAAATATAAAAAAAATTGGATCTTGCAGACAAATTAAAATTAAAATTGAAGATGGAAAATTATCATTATAATTCATAGAAGAGGATGTCTATGTATAGACTTACAATTAATTTAAAATTCCCAACAAATCTCATCTACTAACAACTCTATTTGTTGAGACTATATTGAATAACTAAAAATAAAATATAAAAAATAAAACTGTAACAATAATAAATATCTTATCTAAAATTTATTCAAAATTCAAAATTTAAACAAAAAGAAAAATCTCATAAATCTAACAACTTCCTGACTTAATAATTATAGATAAAATTTCAATTAGAAGTAATAAAAGATTTTGAGAAACAATAATATGTAAAATATATTACATGTTTCTTTAGGGTAGTCCTACTGTTTTGATTAAGTTTATAAACACCAATTCATCTCGTTGTATTAATTAAGGTTAGATCACTTGTTTCTCACAATCATTTTGAATGTTGTCATATTTTTACAGCGATTGTTGTTTTCGTTTTTTTTTTTTTTCATAAATTGGATGGTTACAAATTGAAAACTTAATCTCCATTGCCCCCTTATTAACAACCATGAAATCGGGGAGTTAAGCTTAGTTACACTCTAAGCAGGAAAAAGTTGGTAAAAAATAATAATGAAAACGAAACTCTTTAAATTATACAGTAGAAAAAGTCATCATCTACTTTGAAACGACAGGGGATACCGGATATATTTTCATTCAAGGAAGGAAAGGCATTTATAAAATTCAACAGCAAAGGTTTAACGAAACTATTTTTCTATACTAGATAGCTTTAGAACGCAGATACAAGAATGCACGATGCAGAAAATCTAATTACATCTGATGGATAATCGATGAATAAATGTAAACAGAGTTGTCGTTCTTATAACTTGGTTATAGAAACTGAATAAGGGATTATACAATACATAAGAAATGATGGAATCAGATTGTACAAGTTCCAACTCCTTCCATTCCCTTCCTTTCTATATTATTTTTTATCCAAACAATGGATCTTAAATCCTTATATGCTTTCATCATAATACTGAACTTTTTCCACTAACTTTTTCCGATCAGTGGAACTTAAAAGACTTCAAAGTTCTCTCTAAATAGCCCTTCCAACGTATACCTTTGGACCAAAAAAAGAAAACAAAGGTAACACCTACAATGGTCTAATTTTCAGCAACCTTTTGTAGTATTAACATAATCTCCATTTCTTGAGCACTTGGTTTTCTATCTGCCTTGGATGTCCGAAATGCTGACAGAGTTAAGGGAGTTCAGGCCATTGCTTCTTACAAAGGACATTGAACTTAACATATTTTGTCTCAGAGTGAATGCAGGTTTCGTTGGTGGAGGAAGATCCAGAATCTCACTGTTAAGCATTGAAATTACAGCAGCCATAGAGGGCCTATCTGCAGCAAATTCTTGTACACATAGAAGTCCTATGTGTATGCACCTAAAAATATATTTATGAAGACTAGGATCATATATTCCTTCATCTATTAGAGATGAAATATTGTGTTCTGTCCACTGAATCCAGGCCTACAATTAAAAAAAAATATTAAACATTCGGAAGTCTTGTCAGCAGAAGAATACAAAACCCCAATAATGGACTAAGAAAGACAAAAGAAAGTTAGAGATTTACAAATCCTAAAAGAGTAAGAGAATTCTCTTCATCATAAAAGCTAGAATTCCGTCTTCCACTAACAATCTCCAATAGCAAAACTCCAAAGCTAAAGACATCTGATTTTTCAGAAAATTGTCCTTGCATCGCATATTCTGGAGACATATAACCACTACATTGAAATGTACCAAAATTTATTGTCAAGTATGCTAATATAATCCTGAACAATGAAGGTGTACCACTACTTACTATGTTCCAACAACTCTTCTGGTATTAGCCCGATCCTCATTCCCACCAAAGATTCTTGCCATACCAAAGTCTGATATTTTTGGATTTAGATCCACATCTAACAAGATATTACTTGCCTTCAAGTCCCTGTGGATGATTTTTAGCCTGGAATCTCTATGAAGATAAAGCATTCCTCGAGCCACTCCCTCTATAATGCTAAAGCGTTTTCTCCAATCAAGGACTTTAGTTTTTGATGGATCTAAAGAATCAAAGGGTAGAAATATATGAACTCTTAACATTTTGAGATGAAGAAACGGTATCTTAATTTAACAATTTAGCATCAATCCAAGAAAATAGACATTAGGATGCTTTCAAGAAAACTTGCTAGCTGTAATCATATTATTCATTTTAAAAAATATTTCATATATCAGACGCAAGGAAAATCCAATATAGATGGATGCTAAGGGGCATCAAAAAAGCTAACCAAAGATGTATGCGTCCAAGCTTTTATTTGGCATGTACTCATAAATCAACATCTTTTCCTCCCCTGTAGTGCAACAGCCAAGAAGTCTTACAAGATTGCGGTGTTGAAGCTTGGAAATGACCACCACTTCATTCATGAATTCTTCTAGACCCTGTCCAGATGTCTTAGAAAGTCTTTTAACAGCAATTTCCTGACCATCTGGCAATTTACCCTAAAATATAAAAATGCAGAATATGAAACTATTCACAATGATTTCAGATATGAGTAACTTAACTAAATTTAATGTACCTTGTATACTGGACCAAAACCACCCTCTCCAAGTTTGTTAGATGGATGAAAGTTGTTTGTGGAAGTTACAAGCTTTCCAAAATTAAGTATTAATAGCTCCTGGAGTTTGACTTGTGACAGATCTCCAAATACATTGTCACTTGAATATTCTGCCGGTGCTCCACCTCCTCCATTAAATTGGAGGAATCCTTTGAGGATCCCACTTACTGATTAATGACAGTGCCACAAATTAACAAGAGGGAGAAACAACATGCATACATACAAGTGGGCACTGATCTAAAACAGTAAATCAATTAAAGAAAAATAGTGAACACAAAATTGTGAACTGAAAGAATTTATTGTTATGTAAATTTTGAGCATGTCTTTGTATAGTGTGCATATACCGCAGTATTATATAGAGAACTCATTTGAGCAAATTTGAACCCATAATGATGATAAATTACCCTGGTGATTAGGAATCCTTCTCCAAATGATGTACGCACAAAGGACAATTAAGGCAATTCCTGTTGTCACTGTAATAATAGTAATGATGATTGTCCTGTTTCTTTTCTTATCTGAAATTTAGGAAAAATTGAGAATTGATAATCCAGTCCTAACCCTGGAGAAAGGGTCAAATTAAGGAAGCTAATTCAAATTATTGTGCAGATACCAAGTTCAGTGTAGGCTACACGAACATAAAGATCAAGTCCACCGTTTGAGAATTGTTGTATATCAATTAGATTTCCAGTCCAAGACATGCAACCAATATCAGCATCATATGAATATGCTACACAAGAACAATTCTCCAAGCATCGGCTTCTGCAAGTGTCTGGTTGAAGACTGAGAGATGACCCATCTGCAAAATCTGGAACTTTGACCATTGACAGTTTCAAAAAGCCATCTGCTTTATTATCTGCACTTGTGTTCTGGCTGTTGACTCTTACACACTGCAAACTTGTGCTCCTAACACATCCACTAGTCCAGTTCTGTCTATTCCATTCCTCTCTGTTCCTTGGCTCAAACCCTTTCAAACAGCTACATATTGGTGAGCTCTGTGAATTACAGATCGCAAAAGGACCACACACACCATAAACGTCACACTCAAATTGATGACTATTCCATGTTACTGCCCAATCCATCTTCTCTTCATTCCACCATCTCTCTTCACAATTGCCTGTTGAATTCAGAACATAGATTAACAAGCCCACCTCTTCTATTTTTGTAAAAAAGAATTCAACATTTGCTTGCCCATCATCTGCAATCTGTACCCCAGTAAGATAAAATGATGTCATGTAGGGAAGCCCTGTAAAGGCCTTACGATTCCACGGACCAGTGCGCCAGAATGGGCGAGTTTCATTCCAAATGAACACTTCAGGTATACTAAGGCGTTCAACACTTAAAGAGAAGCTCCCAATGGATGGATCAAAAGGGCTTTTCCATGAAGTTAGTTTTACTTTCTCACCTGTAACTTTGCTAGTTGTAAGCTTCATATTGGGTAACATTGCATTGGAAGGATGTTGGAAACTCTCCCATATGTTGGTTTCTGTTGTGCTTTCAAGTAGTACAAGATTCCCAGAATCTAAGAGTTTGGAACTAGAGTTGGATCCAATATTGGACACATTTGATGACCAAATAACCTGTTTCTGCCCATTCAATACCACAAGATTGCCATCTTCAGAAATGGTAACAACTCCAGAAGAATCTCTCAGGGGTTGGTTTCTGTTAGCCACCCATATGACAGTGAATTTGGGCTGCCACCAAATTCCAACGTAGCGGTTTGTAGAATTCTGAGGGGTGAAGAACCCCAAGGTGAAGTTACCACCTCTGGAGGTTATAGTTTCAGGGTCCTTGATGAACTGAGATGAGGTGATGGTGTTTGTGGCAGCACCAACATCTGAAAAAAGAAAACATAGTATGATCAAAAAGAAGAGCGAATTTGTGCACTTGGTGAAACCCATTACCGATAGGGATTACTTCTGGTTAATAATTGATGTTTTTCTTATGTTTTTGTAAGTGAATTTTTTCTTCTTCTTGATTGACACTTGCTCCTTGTTTTGGAATTATATCCTAAGGCCAGTATTCACACTTAATCCACTAATAGATTAAGAACATAGTTGAATACAAATTTAGAAGAGTTTTAAAAGTTTCTCTACGGAAAATAATGTTATTTTATAAAAAATATTGTTAAAAACACTTTTAATTTATATTCAAACAGAATATTTCTAATATATAAGTCAAAGGCCTATCCTAGACTTCATTCGAGATCACCATGAAACAAATCAAACCATGCTCAGGTATACTCTAGGAAACTCTTACATGGTATATTTAACTCTTCATGTTTTACGTCGCTCACTAATTTCTATATAAACGATATCATCTTCATGTATTTTCACGAGCTAAATACCTGAGCTAACATTAATGTTACTTTGCCATAAAATATACAAGGATGTCGAAGTATTCATCTTCTTATTAAAGCTGAAAACTTTTTCTTTATCTTTTACTGTTATAATTAATTATGATTGTTTGTATTAATAGGTAAAATTTTGTTATAATTATTTTTATTTACTCTAATGGATAATATCTTGTTAAGTATCTAATTTTAGGCAAATTTACACACTTAATGATAATGGAGACATGTATTTTATTGACAATATTTATGAGTTCTATGTATGACTGTCATTTTTCATGTATTTACCTTATATATGAATGAAAAACATGCAAAGTGGTATGATTATCAAGCAAATACGAAATTACTTTGTTTCCTAACCTTTCCTTTTCTCAGTTTTATGGTTATATATGATTTAGTGTTTATGATTCTGCTGCCCATTGCATGTCTTAACACTTCTTTTCTCACCATACTTCTTTTCTCACCACGTGCTGTTTCGTGGAATTTTCTTTTACAGGTCCACTTCATATTCACCCAGTGTTGGATTTTTATGATTTTGTAATTGACTTTTACTTCTCCTTGATTGAGACTTCCTCCTAAAAGTCAACAGGGTTTGGTATTAAGCTTGCACGCGGAAGAGACGAATATTCAGAGTAATATCTCGTAATTATTGCTGAGTTGTGATACCTTATTGTTACTATGTTGAAACACATGGAAACTTGCGTCACCTAGTGTTGTTTTGTTGAAATTTCCTCTCATAGGTTATTTTATGTCTTTTTATAAGTACCTTTCTTAATAGTCAACACGGTTTGGTGTTGTTTGGCTTGGCTTTTCTGCCATGTTTTAGTTGGAGCAACTACACATTAGTAATTGAGTATATGTTTATAAAATCTTTATAAGATATTTTTAGTATTTTATAAAATATAAAAAATAAAAAAAAAACAACGTTATCAATTAATTAAAAAAAAATTAGTATGACTTTTTAAAATTCAAACAAACTTAAAAAATTAAACACATAAATTCAATTTTCAAAACCCTTGTTATAATCCATTCTACTTTTAAGAAAAAAATTACACAAAATATTACTTGTCTTGCTTAATGCATGTGAACATTAATTAATAAATAAAAAATCAACTTTATCGTCATTGAATACTTTTTGTTTTGGGTAAAAATACCTTTTAATTTAACCTCTCACAATGGAAGGAAATAGAAAGAAGAGAGAGAGAGATCACTTTGTTTGAGAGAAAAAATTAGGAATGACACAAGTTATTTTGGTAAGTCCTACCAGAAAAGAAATCCTCTCAAATGGGAATGAAATGGTACAAAAACGATCTCATTTTTATTTTATTTCATAATATAAATAATTTAAAAATCAATCTACTCTTATATATTAAACATAAACCACTATTTTGTGCCAAAGTTTTTTAATTAGAAACTTTTCTTTATTTATGAGAACGTTTGAAAGAATTCTTTTAACTTCTTTCACTATAAAAAAAAATGTCATATAATAACGTATACTTTACAATAACACAATATTTATTTCTAAAAATTATTTTTACCTACACTACAAATATAACATATATAGATTTATTGTTAAAAAGTGTTGGTATATGTTATAGTGACACACAATATATATATATATATTATTAAATCTCATTCAGAATTAAAACTAAAATTGTGTGTAATTATATGTTTAAATTTATGCCTACATATTTTATATCTATACAGTAACAGTTTTTTATATATCATTGTATGTAAAAAATTTTTTGTAGAATTATCTAAGTTAGTTTTTATTTATCTTAATTATTTATGAATTAAATATTAATATTTTAAAAAAATATTAATAAAAAAAAATAATTTTGTACCATAATATAAATTATTTATCATAAATATAAATATGATATATAGGTTTAAAAATCTTCTCCTTTCTTCTTTATGTTGAAATTGAATTTTCTTCTATTTCCTCTATTCCTTAAGAATTTGTGGAATCTTTTTACAAAGAGATTAAAATCTTCATCATCATCATCATCATCTTCCTCAATGTTTTTATCTTTTTCATTTTCTTCATGAGAGGATGAAGATGCTTCAAGTGCTATACTTTTCTTCTTTTTGTCACTATCTTCATTTTGACTTAGTCTCATCAATTCCATTTCATGCTCTTGAAGTTTTCCAAATAGAGATGCAAGAGACATGGTTGTTAGATCTTTTGATTCAGCAATTGCAGTCACTTTCGGTTGCCATTCCCTACTCAAACATCTCAAAA